CTTGAAAAGTATTTGTCGGAATTAACTCAAACTTGCTACACAGCATAAGGGCATCAATATGTATCAGAAAATGTAATAAAAAATTGGGATGATTTTTTAGCCATTTTTTGGGAAAAACCATGGGCTATAGCCTTGGGTATTTTTCATAATTTTGATGTTTTCTTAAAATGGCCGTAACTTGAAAAATTGAAGTCGGAGTCGCCTCAAACTTGCTACACAGCATAAGTACATCAATATGTATCAGAAAATGTAATAAAAATTTGGGGTGATTTTTTAGCCATTTTTTGGAAAAACATAGATCAATATATAGGCCCAGTGACTGTGACATTGATGTAGCAATCTCTGATGCTCGACTTCAATGTCACTAACATATTAAAGATTATTATTATTATTATTATTATTACTAATTTCACTTATAAACTCATTACTACTGATTTCTGATCCTATTTCAAAAAAACCATGGACTATAGCCTTGGGTATTTTTCAGAATTTTGACGTTTTCTTAAAATGGCCGTAACTTGAAAAATTGAAGTCGGAATCGCCTCAAACTTGCTACACAGCATAAGGGCATCAATATGTATCAGAAAATGTAATAAAAATTTGGGGTGATTTTTTAGCCATTTTTTGGAAAAAACCATGGACTATAGCCTTGGGTATTTTTCAGAATTTTGACGCTTTCTTAAAATGGCCGTAACTTGAAAAATTCAAGTTGGAATCACCTCAAACTTGCTACACAGCATAAGAACATCAATATGTATCAGAAAATGTAATAAAAATTTGAGGTGATTTTTTAGCCATTTTTTGGAAAAAACCATGGGCTATAGTCTTGGGTAATTTTCAAAATTTCGGCCTTTTTTAAAAATGGTTGTAACTTGAAAAATTCAAGTTGGAATCACCTCAAACTTGCTACACAGCATAAGAACATCAATATGTATCAGAAAATGTAATAAAAATTTGGGATAATTTTGGGGTCATTTATTTAAAAAACCATTTCATTTTTTACTGCATGAAAATGAATAATGGCTACTGAATTTTTAGCTTTATTGTTGACTTTTTGTAGGATCATAAAACTAACAAGTTATAAACTAAACTATATCGTCATACTTGGATCAGGACTACTTTATACCAGTGTCTTCTTTTATTCCTTATCACTACAAAACCCGACTATTCAAACAATATTCTGCAATGTAAGTCTATTATCATTATGCACTAGCTCTCATGAAGTTTACTGTAGACTCGTGTTTGGCTGTTTTCATTGTCTTATGATCTCTGCTTTGGAGTGATACTAGCTAAAACTTGGAGAGTATACTACATATTTAATAATCCAAAACCAAAAAAGAAGGTACCTTATCCACGATATGTCCAATGTACGTATTATCTTATTACAATAGGGAGTCAGAGATTGGCACCTTTTACTGATAATATTTTCAATTGTTGCTATTGATGTTGTTATCATTCTTGTTGGCTCAACTCTACCCCAATCAAGGCTGACCAGTTTTCAAGCTGTAGATGGTGAACATCCACAAGTTGTTAATGTAACTAAAAGTACTGACTGTACAATTAATAGTTAAATGACAAGCTCCTTTGTAGGAGGAGGGAAAGGTACAAAGGAATTACGTCTATGTTTGTAACAAGCAAATTGGGACTATCATTTGGCTGGGGGTGTCATTTGGTTATAAAGGTATCCTCCAGGTTCTTGCTATTTTCATGGCCTTCCATACTCGCCGTGTGAAAGTGAAGCTGCTCAATGAGTCGATGGAAACAGCAACAATCATCTACATAAACAGTATCATAATAGTCTCACTCATTGTGACTGAGTTTACTCTTCCCACACATCACAATATCTACTCAGCACTCTTTGGGCTAGGACTCCTCATTGAAGCAACGTTGTTTGTTGGACTCATCTTCATTCCTAAGGTAAGCTGGCCTGGAGCAACCCCATACCTTGGACTTTGGTTCTGTTCTTTGTCTCTAGATGATTCGTTTGTATTTTGATCCTCAAGGAGACAATATTTTTCCCCAGAATACAACTGTTGCTCCAGCAACTTTGACAAACAACATTTTGGATGAAAAAGAATCATCTGAAGTTGTTTTAAATTTGAAAAAAAGAGTAAAAGAATTGGAAAGACAGCTTGTGGAGGTACATTGAAACTTGTAAGAAATTAATAATTATGATTATTATTATTTTGTAGTTGAAATGAACCAAAGACTCTACATACATAGTCTACATACTGTACATGCATAGATATTTGGCATTTTTATTTGCTTAGGTCCAACATTGTCAATACTATTTCATTACTAGATCCAGAGCTAGAATAGTTAGTATTATGCATGCCTCTCATGGTTCTTCTTGTCTTGTTTTGTTGATGTGTGTTACCAGTGGCTATTATTGTATCATGAAAAGAAAGACTAGTCAATCCTGTTGCTTGCTCACTCAGTCTTCCTATCTCATATTAACTCTCTGTTGTTACTAGTTTCAGGAGTTCTCACTGTATCTTGCATTGGATCAGTTGTTGAAGGATTTGATCATATTCCAGCTTGTAATAAGACTAATCATATTAGTAATATTATTGACAGTATCATAGGACATGGTGTCCTTATGTTATGTCAAAGTTTGACAAAAAAATATGTTGTCACAATAGACTAGCAAAATGAATATCATTACAATACAGGCGTGGCTCATTTCTTTTGTTGATTTCAAACACTGCGAGAAATGGAGATCGGTATGTATTTGTGTGCTTGTTCTTCACTTGTTTCTCATCTACAGGTGGAGAGACTATACTACCTGGGGCTCCAGTTAGCGTGAAGTGGCTTGAAGAATGGTATGAAGGAGAGATATTGGAAATGGGGCGTCAAAACGATCTCTTTAAAGTAGATATTGCCTCAAGCTAGTTTATGCATGCTATAATAATTACTAGATAAAAGATACAGGTACTGAGCTGGCGGTATTGCTTGAGAAGTCTCAGTTTAAAGTTATTGATGCATCAAAGCCAACACACGAGCAGTTCAGCCCAGGATCAGAGGTTGCATACTATGACAATGGACTCTGTAACTGGCTAACAGGAACTATTGAAGTTAGCATTTATTAATACTAAGGCATTGCATTTTAATCTGTGGTTCTTTTGTATAGGATGAGTTTACAGAAGAATCAGTTCTTGTGAAATGGAAGAGAGAGCCAGCAATGGATTCCAATATCAACTGGTTTGTGGCTGATAATGTTGCTCCAGCTATACCAAATGAAGCCGAAGTTGATGAAGCTAACGAATCAAAGACTCACAGTAAAATCCAACTGCCCAGCATGACGAAAGAAGTGTCTCTAAGAGATGTTCTTGACGAGGTACCGAGACACAGGAAGAACTCAATGTATCACGAAACAATGACAACCATTGATCACCAGCCAGTGCCATCCATCAATCCACAGGCTATCCCGTTTCAGAACAAACTGCCAACATTTGACAAGTTTGTGGAGGATCTCAACACTCAGCATCACGTCAAAGGCCACCGTACAAGTGTCTCAATGAAGAGATACTATTCTGAGAATTTCTCCAAAGGCAAATCTCAAAATAGCGATCACAAATTGGAGAGGTACCTTCAAAACCAAGCGGCACTCTTGCATGGGAAGGTAGACCACAGCATATTACCCCCTGTCTGGTCTTACGTTGGTCAGGCCAAGGGGATACCCCATCACCCTGCCTCAAGGTTCTTTAGACACGTCCGCTCTGCCACACACCTAACTAATGCTTCTGGACAATACTACGGGAGTCAAGGGTGGATTAAAAAACCTGGTTACCGTCCTGTGAAGAGAACCAGATCTGAGCAGTTCCAGCTCTCAAAGTCACCTTCTGTGATATCTGAGGCTAATTCTGAGCCTTCTCCTTATGCTCAACTAATTGTCCCTGGAAGATCTCGCATGAAGAGACAAGACATGTCAAACAGGCCATTACCAGCTCTTCCTGATGAAGATGAAGGAGAAGAACCCAATGCTAGTGTGCTTAGTGCTCCTTATGAAGTACCTCAATCGCTGTCTTCTCCTGCTTCATGGTCAAACCTACATCCTAAAGTACAGCCTAACAATTACTCACAGCATTTGGAAAGTCTTGACGAGGTTATGGACATTGATCCAAATGTCACAAGTACAATACAGGCACATTATGCATGGGGTTTTATTTATATTTCATTGCTGTAGCTCCTACCATCGTATCGAGTAGTAAAAGTGAGATGATGGTCAGTGCTGGAGGGACCGTCACTCTTTTCTGTGAAGCAAGCAGCGACACTCCAGTAACCTTTGAATGGTCAAAGAATGGACAGAAACTAACTAGCAATGGCAAGAAATAACTTTCTCTTTACATCATTTAATGTATTTGTAGATGATCGTGTAGCGTTCCCAAGACCAGGTAGCCTGCAGTTGTATGGTTTGTGTATTGATGATGCAGGAACCTATCGATGCACTGTTATCAATCAAGGAGGAGCTGCTATATATAAGTGTAACCTTTATGTTGAAGAAGGTACATTTATGATAGTTATACATTATTGGTATCATGTACACTTCAATTGTGCAGAATCCTTAAAAAGGAGTTTCTCTCGAGAAGACAATCTGGATAAAATAGCCAAGCAAATGCCTGTACCATACTTTGATAACCTTTACAAAAGAGCTGACGACCACTCCTTAACATCAGTTAGGTAATAATGACACTATATTATGTGTATAAGTCTGTTGTGGTATTGTACCTAATACAGTGATACTGATGATGATGATGCCTTTCACTCACAAGCTCCAGCATATGATGACTATCCATTAACTATGGTCCGTCACACCCTCTCCCTAGCTTCAATGGGGGCCACAATACAAGACATAGACAATAAAGATACTGCAGTGTTAATGGAGACCCCACCTGTGGCAGAGAAGGTAGCCAAGAAAGAGAAGAAGAGGAAGATTAAGAAAGAAGTAAGTGTTCATTAAAGAGGAAAAATTGTTATTTTACAATAAAATATTACAGTCAAAGAAAGCACGCAAGGCTGCTGCAGAGAAAGATAAAGAGAGAAGAGTGAGCAATGTCTTGATGAACGAAGTACAAGATTATCTCGGAGGCTATGGAGAAGATTATGGACAAATGACAGATGAGATGATACTTTCAAGTGGAATTGAACCGGACACAAAGGATAAGAAAGACAAGAAGTCAAACAAAAAGAAACCAAAAAAAGAAAAGAAAGCAAAAAAGAGCAGCAAGACCAAAGTGAATCAAGAGAAAGAGACCTCTCCTAAAGCAAAACAAGTTACCATATCAACACAAGAAGAACTCATTCCTCCACTTCCTCCTCCTTTAATGGAAGAAGAAATGATAAGAGAAGAAGGAGAAGGAGCTCCTGCTGATGACCAACATATGTCTCCTCTTCAAGGAGCAAGGAGCCGAGACAGTATTGACGCACATCCATCATTTGAGAGCTTGTTAGACGATGATGAGGAAGAGCTTGAGAGAGAGGCTGGTGAAGGAGAAGAGAGAGTAACACCACCAGAAGAGACAGAACACTACACAGAAGGTGTGAGAAGATTGCAAGAAGCAAACGAAGAGTATGAGGAACAGCACTTTGGAAAGGTAACTAGTATTTGCTTATTACTCTGTATACACTTTGCTGTTAATAAGCTGCCTAATACATGTACTGGGCTTTAGTGAATCATGTAGACCTACTGTAGCATTCTTTTGTCAAATATTCATGATCTCAAGTTATGTGGACGATGAGATCAAAGTTCATATTTGAAACTCTCAGTCTATGAATAAGGATTAGTAACAATGAATCTCTCCTACCTCACAGGGTGAGAAGCAAAAGAGCCATAACAATAAACGTGGACCATTCAGTAAACTTTTCAAGACAAGCAAAGAAGAAAACATGCTAACAGTCATTTAGTTAATGGCTTTGATTTTATTTCATTTTGTATACATTTTAACTTTGTAGATATCAAAACAAACTTGTAGTATACTTCTTTCTACTATAATATAGCTACATTGTCTTTGGAGGTTTGGCGATGGTGTAGAGTGGAGCTGATAGATTGAGTTCTTTGGCTAACGACTCACGAACAATGTTTAACAGAATATTCTCAACTGTCTTCTCAGTCATGACCTGAAACTCTGGAGAACTAGAAATGATAAATAAAAATGATAATATAATAACAGTTGTTAGACCAAGTCTCTACTTTTTAATTTCAAATCCAATCTTGTCTTCGCAGTTGAGTGCTGCAAGAGGAGGTGGGGGTTCAGGTAAGCCAACACTAATGGCTGATACTGTTTCAAGTGGTTTGTCGTCTCTTTCAAAATGAAAGGATGAGGAAGAACCTTGTTCTGCAGTATCCATAGGAAGGTTCTCTAGTCTAGCAGCATAAACGTGACGAGCGGCTACCAGTGTCTCCTTGCTGTCAATGGCCACTGATGTTGGCTGATATTTAGAACTGAACTGAGAGAAGAAAGGTACTGGTTCCTGAACTAGAGTGGTCAGTGAACTCTTGAAATTACTGTCAGTTAGCAACTCTCTGTGTAGCAAACATTAATAATAACAATAATGCTTATAATAGTACCTTAGCATTTGAGTAAGTATAGCATCAACAGTAACACTTTCACTTCTTTTAACAGTCACCATTCCTTTCTCATTAGTAGGGGGAGAGTGGTTGAATGAGAGGGAGCGTTGATCAATCGTGTAACTATCAAAATCATCAAATAATTTAGAATAGTCTGATATTGTGTGTGTTTTAGCTGTAATCCCAATACGTATATATTGTACAGTTGGAGGCTCTGGTGCCTAGCAGGAGTAAATAACACCATGTTTAATTCTAGATGCACTTACTTTGATTTCCTCTTTCAGTCTTTTCCGTGTCCTAGTCTTACTCTTAACAGAAAGGTCACTATGAAAATGAGAACAAAAATACCAAATGGTGAAATTCACTATAAAGTAGAAAGGGTGTGTATGTACATGTACAGTACTCACAATTTCTTCCATTCCTCGTAAGTCTTTCCTGTTGTATGTCCAGTTACCCTTGGAGTTGTTTTGGTCTCAGGATCAGCTATAGTAAAGTGATGCTGACTGTCACTGCCACTTTTATTCCATTCCTCCATCTTCTTCTTGTAAACAACTTGCTCTGATTCATTAACAATCTAGTTATAAAATAATAACAAAATGTAGCCATTCTTCAACAATGTGGAATCATTATGGAGGAACATTGCTTCAAATGTTGTACCTTGCAAGTGATGTCAGTATCATAGACAGCAGGAGAACTAAGTGCATGAAATGTAATGCGGCAAGTGATGGCTTGACTGGGTTGTAAGTATCCTGACTTTGGATGTATTGATACAATCTAGTTATAAAAATCAATTTAATAATTAATACATGTACATGTACATGATCATGGAGGGTCTCAAATTACATTTTACCTTTTCCAAAAGGTGTCCGGTGAGTTCCCAATTGAATGATAAGCTATACTGTGATTGATTCTTTAGAAATATTAGTCTCCTCACCACGGCATAAAGTGGAATGTTCCCTAAATTGAACCTCTCCTGTGATTGTCCTATCATCTGCAACAACAACAATACACAACAGTTAATAAACCATACCATAATAGGAGTCTATAACTACATGCACATGCACATGTGTATTAATTTTTAGCTCATTCTCATCAAAATTAGATTGTTTTATAAATTTTTAAATTACGTGTACCTGACTACCTGGTCAGGTAGTTTAAGGTCCGATATTTCTGGAATATTTTGAGTGACAGGTTCCAAATCAATTTTTGATATCAAGTCAGTAGCTAATCCTTCTCCTTGGAAACTAATAGTGAGTATTGATCCAGTTGATAAACAAACCGACAGATCAAACTATTAAAATAACAACAACACAGTGTACCCATAGCTGCTAACTTCAATGTTATGAAGAACTTACTGTGTATGATTTAGCTTCAGTAGGTGAGAAGACAAAAGGTATGGGAGTTGTTTGTCTGGGAGGTAGTATACCCTCTGGCTCCAAACACTTGAGAATACAAATCCCATAATTAGTCTATAGGGACACACATAATGAATGAATGAGGATCATGGAATGGGTTAAGACTCACAGCAGTTAGTTCATCAAGTGGAGCAGTGTCTATGGAGTAAGCTCCAGTAGTGTCTCCAAAGTTAGTGAGTCCAAAGTATTGAATTTGATGAGACTGAACATCAATAGGAACTGGAGCAAAGACATGTACAGGAGAAAGATAAGTAATGGATGGACTGTTGACTGGTGAGGTTGATCCAATGAAATTAAGCTAGAATACACTGAAAGGATTCCTTCAGACACATGTAGACTAACCATTATCTCTCTTCCTCTGTTAATCTTTAGCAAGACTGGTAGCTGACTGAGCCCAAGGGTAGAGTGACGGTAAGAACACCTAACAATAACCCTCTCCCCCACACTAAGGACTCCTCTCTTTGGACTTATGGTATAAAGACCATTCTTCACAACATCAAACTCATGCTGCTCTGTAGCGTTAAGACAACCAGTCTCAGACCAATACTCTGGTTCCAAATACATATCCGCTGGGAACTGGAATCCCCTACAGGACACATGTGACCAATACATGTACATGTACATATCTTTACCATTCAGTAGGGACACTTGAGTTGTTTTCTAATAATAAATAATAAACACTCTCCTTCTCCTTGGCCAGTGCTGCAGTGCCAAAGTTAAAGTCAACAAAAGCTCTTGTCAGTGTGGGGACCTTACGAGTGACACTAAACAATAATTAAACTAATAACGTGCACTGTCGATATGGCAGACTCCATGTACCTGTGTCTTGTTGATATTGTGTATCTGAGCTCTTCAGCTGACGGGTACTGATTAAGGAAGTAATTCAACCTACAGGAAGTGATTGTAATGAACATGAGCCAATGATACAATGAGTGTATAGTGGATCAAATAGAATATACTTACCTGTCAATCTGCAGCATGTTCCAAACTTGAGATTTACTCAGTGAAGCAGTCATTCCATCAGTTTGCACATTAATGATACAAAGGCCTGGATACACTCCTCTGAACTGGAAGCTACACAGCAATACCCAGCCATTATTCCTGTTAGCCATTAAGTTAGTCTCTCCTCTATTGTCAGTATTATTATCACCAGTGAGTCTATAGTATAATGATGAGTGTATGAGTCCTGGTTGTGATGGTCGCAGTGTTAAAGTGAGTGGCAGCTTATAATGTGGAGCTAATCCTCCTTCAGCTTGACTCAACTCCACACCTACGTGTACATGTACAGTGTAAAATGTACATTCATTTATGAGGCATCACTGCAGTGGTGTTCCTTACCATGGGTGGTTTTCCCAAGGGGTACCTCTTCTTTAGTATTATCTTCAAATTCAATGACCTGTGATAGTCCTAGTCTAAAACTCACAGTACAGTTTGAGACATTCTCCAGTTCAATATGGTGTCTCCTTGAGGTCCCAATACTGACAGACTTACAATCAATCTCATTCCTTGAACACTAACAGAAGAACATAAACATGGAGAGGGTGTATCCATTACCTTAATGTTTCCAGTTCCTCCATGTCCGTGAAGCTTAATGGCATACTTGTATCTGTGGGCACTCTTCTCTATGTTGAGGTTTCTAAATGTCGTGACAGCAACAACTTTGACACAGTAGTCTTTCTCTTCCAATGGGCTGAATCTAAAGGATACTCCTGCTGTATCACACGGACCTATTGATAGTATCTGTGGATTAACACTCATGATGTGAGCCTGGGGCCCTCTTGTCTGCCATACAACCCTACACAATAATAATAATAATAATAATAATAGTAATAATAATAATAATAATAATAATAATAATAATAATAATAATAATAATGATAATGATGGGATATGTACCTCACAGGCAGGCCACAAGGATTCTTAATGCTCAGATTCACTTCAGAATAGCTACCAATAAGTGTTGGCATAAAATACACATTTCCCTAATAACCAATCAATATATACAGTACCAATAATGCACAGAACATCCAATGTATTGTGTGTCTGTCAGTTCATACTTTGCTTATTTCAATTTTGGGAGTATCAGCTAATCCAGAAAGCAACAGATCCTAATATTCATAACAATGACTGTCACTGATTATGGACTATATGTACTTGTTTATAGTCAGGGCAGTTGTTCATGGTACAGCTCAGTATTGATTCATAAAGTTGAGGAAACTTTGGAGACATTGAGAGAACAAACAACTGATGGACACCAGTAATGAGACCACACTCAGGCTTTATATCAAACACACTAATAATGAATAAAATAATAATAATAATAATAATTTAATAATGAATAATAATTAGAATATTGAGGGTACAAGTGGGAATGTATAAACGAGCCAATTATCAAAAAATACCCAAGGCTATAGCCCATGGTTTTTTTCAAAAAATGGCTCCAAAATTACCCCAAATTTTTATTTCATTTTCTGATCATATTGATGTCCTTATGCTGTGTAGCAAGTTTGAGCTGATTCCGAGTTCAATTTTTCAAGTTACGGCCATTTTAAGAAAACGTCAAAATTATGAAAAATACCCAAGGCTATAGTCCATGGTTTTTTCCAAAAAATGGTTAAAAAATCACCCCAATTTTTTATTACATTTTCTGATACATATTGATGCCCTTATGCTGTGTAGCAAGTTTGAGGCGATTCCGACTTCAATTTTTCAAGTTACGGCCATTTTAAGAAAACGTCAAAATTATGAAAAATACCCAAGGCTATAGTCCATTTTTTTTTTTGAAATAGGATCAGAAATCAGTAGTAATGAGTTTATAAGTGAAATTAGTAATAATAATAATAATAATAATAATCTTTAATATGTTAGTGACATTGAAGTCGAGCGTCAGAGATTGCTACATCAATGTCACAGTCACTGGGCCTATATATTGATCTATGTTTTTCCAAAAAATGGCTAAAAAATCACCCCAAATTTTTATTACATTTTCTGATACATATTGATGTACTTATGCTGTGTAGCAAGTTTGAGTTAATTCCGACAAATACTTTTCAAGTTAGAAGCACTGTAAAATATGCAAATACCCTGTACTGTACTGTATAGTCCATGCTTATTTTGAGACAATAATAATTTTCATGTGAAGCATCAGTTGTACAGTTTTATAAGTACACAAGAATTACTATATCAATCAATAATGACAGTGGATTACCTTGTAGGGTCAGGAGTAAACTTGAACATGACAGGAGTGTCCCCTCTGTTCCTACCCACTAGTGTCCTATAGACCGTCCGTTTCTCTATTGTACTAGGGAAGACAATGTTACAAGTATTGAAAGAGAGGGAGGGGAGGAACGGCTCGGTCCCTGGAGAGAAGCTATGAGCAATGGCCCTGAGGTGAAGACACCAGGGCAGTATCAACACTTGATCATTAACCATACTGTAATTACGTAATGACTGAGGAATAGGAATGGAATGAAGGACACACACATCAATACTGGTAGTTACTTTGTAACAAATGTAGCACTCAAGTTGACGAGAGAACAGCTGATTGGGTTTATCCTAGAGTATAATGGAGTTGATGATTGTACATTATAAATAATAATACTACACTAACAGGCCAGAATGTAACATCAAATACAACTGTAGTGTTTGGATGAATCTGTCTCTCAGAAGGTACAACCTGAAACACTTCTCCTCTCTCTAAATCAACCAAAATACAATGAAGAATGAAGAATGAACCATGAACCATGGACCATGAACCATGGACCATGAACCATGGACCATGAATCATGAATCATGTACATTACCAGTACTCCAGACACAGTACACGTTCCCTTCAGTATGATTGGTAATAGTTACCACCTATTAATGATACATAATGTGTGTGCATTCCTTTAATAAGCTTCATTGTGTGTATTACATACCTTTTTCTCTGATGACCTCCGATATGGAGTAAACCCAAAGTCAATAGACTCCACATCAATACTGACATGAGTGGACTCATACTGTGAACACAATGAACAGTAACACAGTGTATGTGCAATGCATTACTGGCTCATTCTCTGGTTGAAGGTATCTAGTATACATTGAGGAGTGTTGCTGCTTCCCTTGTTCACCTCCTGAAACTGAGGCATTTTGATAAATCTGTGGATCAGCATTCTACACAAGTGCATGTACATGAATCATTAATGAATGTATAGGCATACTTCTGTTATCAGTAGGAGACCATCTTTGTCTATTGCTACTGATCCATTCTCAATACATTCATCTAAAAACTATAAGCATCAGTAAACATTAATGTACAGTAAATCCTCCATTAGATTACTTCAGGTGGGTATCTTGATAGACCAGAATAAGCAGCAGACTTGTACAATGACACATGATGAGGTTTAAGAACAACTGCATAAAGATACCCAGTACAATGTAGACAATGGATGAGGTAGGGTAGGGTATACCTGGTCTAATGGTGTCTGTGTAAGCTGATCCAATTGCATGTAATGTCAATGGCTCCTGCAAAGTATTAAGAATATAGTACCATGCATTGATGATGAGAAAATAAGTACCTGGTTGAGACAGAGTATTTCAATGACCCTGTGGTAGGGGTGTGGTTTATTAGGAGAGAAATGGAGAATGAGAGGATTGACAGAATCAGGTTTGATCTCCCCACAAGGACTATCAGCATGAAAGACACACTCAGGATCAATAAGAACCTACAATAATGATCAATGACAATAATAATAATAATAATAATAATAATAATAATAATAATTATTATTATTATTATTATTATTATTATATGTATAATGTTACTTGATAAAGGCAGTGAGCATTTGAAGTGTTCCTAATATGAACTACAACAGTTGATGACTGGCCACACTCAACACTACCAAAATTAGCACATTCTTCCATTAAACTCAACCCAGGACCTACAGTACATTAATATCATTATTATTATCATTATCATTATTATTATTATTATTATTATTATTATTATTATTATTATTATTATTATTATCATTATCATTATCATTATTATTATTATTATTATTATTATTATCATTATCATTATTATTATTATTATTATTATTATTATTATTATTATTATTATTATTACATACTTATTGGATTTCCAGTACATATGATCCTAGTGCTGCCCAATCCACCAACTGTATTGAGGTTAAAGTATCTAGCAGATACTTGCTCAGGATATGATGGAGCATAATAGAGCTAATAGTGATAATGTATAGTAATTGTTATTATTATTATTATTATTGTTATTATTATTGTTATTGTTATTATTATTATTATTATTATTGTTACCTTGTTGATGAGTGTTCCAAATGGAGGTATGGTCCCTTCAGAATGAGAGAAGGTAAGGAGGACATCTTTAAGGTGAGTCTCTGATTCTGGGAGCAATGTGAATGATGCTGGAACCTACAGTACATGTACATAACCCGGCCAGTGTTTAAGAAATGTTCATCTAATTGATCCTTAAACTCACTGGGGTTGTGTTGATAATCTCTATAGTAGCTTCAGACACAATACCAACTGGTACATCACCAAACTGAACCCTCACTGATCCATCAAACTCATGCTGCCTTGGTCTTATCCTCTTCACTGGTGACCTGCACTTCACTGGTGAGCTCGTCTTTGTGTGCTTTACTTCAAGATGAGGGTATTTACCTTATTGTATTAATAATAGAGAGTATATTAATGGTAGTCCCTCTACACATTCACAGTGCATGTATTGTTGCTTCATTACTTGTTCCTATTAGTTTCATAGTCTTGCTGAGAGAGAGGTCTTCTCCATAATGAAGGACAGCAGGTACACTGTGTACAGTGGCGGTCAGTGGCTTGAAGGATACCTTAAGGCCAATGGATTCCTTTACTCCTAAACCAGCAACTAATGGGGTGATCTCAAAGGGAGGGAAACACTCCCAACGTAACTCAGTGGGCACAAACCTAAATAAAGATAAGAATTAAACTAACAATACATTTACAATGTAATGTATCAGTGTGCTCTACCCAAGTACCCACTACCCTAGGGACCCAGTACCCTACCCAAGTACCCATTCCCCTAGGGACCCAGTACCCTACCCAAGTACCCATTCCCCTAGGGACCCAGTACCCTACCCAAGTACCCATTCCCCTAGGGACCCAGTACCCTACCCAAGTACCCATTCCCCTAGGGACCCAGTACCCTACCCAAGTACCCATTCCCCTAGGGACCCAGTACCCTACCCAAGTACCCATTCCCCTAGGGACCCAGTACCCTACCCAAGTACCCATTCCCCTAGGGACCCAGTACCCTACCCAGTGTTAGTGATGGTAATGTCAATAGTTACTGTGTCCTTTACTCCACAGACTCCAAACTGAAGTGATTCAGGTACTGTGAGGTGGGGCTGTGGTATCAGTGCATACAGTGGCACTCTGAATGCTCCTTCCTATTAAATGGAATAACTTACTGAAACTGGATCAAACTTTTAAAAGTACACGTATATGTTTAAATGTCCAATCTTCACTTACTTTTGTTTCAAATTCAATAAAGTCCTCATAGTCACTCTACAAAGGAAAGTCAAGAGAATAAATCAACACACACACAGAGGCAAGTGGTGGTAACCTTTTCTGTTGGTCTGAAGGTGATGGGCAGTGAGTAAGTGTTACCAGCACTCAATACAATAGGCTGAGGATATAATGTACTGAAGAAAGCATTGCTGGAGACCCTGTGGTGAGAATACAAAGGTCTATTATTATATTAATACTGGGACTTACTTGAATTTTATCTTTTGAGTCTTAATATTGACATTTTTAATCACAACAGACTTGGTATACTCTCCCCCAGGCTCCCATTTAGGGTACGTGACGTTAGCAGGAACCTCAAGACCAAACTTTTCAACTCTCCTTAGTGGAGCTAAGAGCGCCATTTTGTTATGTTGCCATGACAATAATATTTAACCCCTTGCAGACTAGTACTACTAATTTATTGAAACCACGCCCTTTTAAAATTGAGCCACACCTTCTCCTTTACAAGCTGAGCTAGAACCCTCTCCTGATTCCTGAGCTGTTGGAGGAGCAATAGAATGGCCAGCAAATACGAGAGTAAGTACAACAGTGATGAAGATGAAAACGAAGATATATATGAAGTCCTTCCGGAGCTTCAGTTGCAACTGGAATCAGTGAAGTGAGCCACTCACTAGTTGATAGTACATACACTCATTCTCCTCTTCCTTTTATCATTGCTAGCTGGTTCCACCCTTATCTGACCCGCCATCAGTCTGATGCTATACTCCAAACCTCACAAGAAGGTGTTTATCTTTTACGAAAGAGGAGTCGTGGGGGCTGGGGCCGCTATTCACTTGATATAAAGTAACTAGCATCACAGAAATACAGTATCATTATTGTGTGGCCTGATTCAGTTTATATTGTTATTGCAAACGTTGATTCCTTTGCATTGTTCTAGAGGTAAACAATCAGTGAAACACTTTCCGGTTGCATTGACTGAGAGAGGAGTCAGTCTTGGATCAAAACTATTTGATTCAGTTCATATATTTCTAACACATTTCCAATCAAACCCTGTCATTGCTGATGAATCAGGTTAGAACCAAAAAATGAGTTAACCACTCACCATGCAATATCTTTTAACTGCTATCTAATCTAGTTATTCAGTTACTTGTATGTAGTTTGAGTTTGTAATGTATTTTCCATATTTGTCAACATAAGTAAGTATAAAATTACCATTTTCACCAATTACTATAGATTATAAGATTTTTGAGCTGTAGACGGTAGTAATATACATATAAGGTTATCTATTGTTAGTTTAGTTGATGATACTGTGAATTGATTGTCATAATAGGACAGCCATTATCAGTACAATCAATGCTCATACCAGCAAATCAGTCATGCATTGAAGACATGAATAACGAAGGAATGTTGAAATTAATATAACTGTGAATTCTATTTGGTTTTTTATTGTTCTCTTTTGGGACAAGTTATCATTTCTTAAAAATGTTAGGATCATTTCTGGAATGTAAATTTCCCTACCCACAAAAAGTGAATGAATTTGAAGAGTACAACAAAGTGACTTGTCATTTTCTGTATGGAGACGATGATTCTGATGAAGATGATGAAACCAGAGTTGGCTATTCTGTAAGTACAGCAGAAACTATCACGATAGTGCATGGAGAAATGAAGAATATGATTATAGATTGTTTAAACAGTGACCCAAGAGTTAACCTGTCAGTTCATTCATCTCCTCTTGGTTTGTAGGCTGCCACTAAAGAAGGATACATTAAGAAGCAAGGAGGACAAATTAAAGTATGTTCACAATGTTTATCTATTGTACACATTCAATCACTGAAATGACTGCAGTCATGGAAAACAAGATGGTTTGTTTTAAAAGATGCGAATTTGTCCTATTATTCAAATCACAAAGTAAACATCAAACAAGGAAGTGAATGAGGTAGCCATTAATTGCTACTCTCTTATCCTCTCAATTAGAGTAAGAAGCCAATCAAAGTGATACCAGTGGACAAGATAGTCCATATATTAGGAGATGATCCTTCGAAATGTTTCAGGTAATATCCATAACACAATAATAGAGTCTGAATAGCGTGGGAGAGTGTAGAGTTATTGTGTTGTGTTCTGTTATTACCAATTATCCATT